AAATATAAACAATTCATACCAGCCCAGCCAAGAATTTTCAATTCGTCACACATGATCCAGTCATCTTGGGGAATTTTTTCATCTCTCACCCATTTTAGAATATACTTGTTGTCTTTTGCAGGTGGCCAGTAACATGTCCATTCTCCTTCTACTTTTCGTAGCCACAATCCTGGCAATAGTTCTACAACTTGTTTGTCTTCATCCGTTTTTTCTTTGAAGAAATGCACAATCGCGAATTTAGGCGTCGACTCATCACTCATTGTACTTATATTACTCAATTTGCCAGATGAAAGCTTCACTCTTTATATTTGTACCGTTATATTGGTGGAAAGAACCGTTTCACCTAAAAAATTCGTTCTTTGAGTTGATCGTATATCTCGTATGAGTATGTAACACGTGCTAATACTTCTAACCTCAACGTCCCGCCATTTGGCGTCGCGTTATAGTATAACGGTTATATAACGTCTGGGATTGAGTTGCATTACTGCATAATATATAAACGGATTTTACTCACCACGCTGCATTAAGATGACGATATTCAAAACTTTTTCTTTCTATAATTTTTAACAAACTTATAACACAAACGGTTGCATAAAATTACACCGGAAATGCTTATTGCGGTATCCCCACTGCTAACTAACCTCCACCGGCAAAACGCCGGGTCCCTCTATTCAACACAATGATGCACTCGATGCCACTCACCCAGCCTTATACAAAGGAAAAAAACACGAGTTTACGCAAACGCTCAAATTTCTAATGTTCACATCAATCACTAATTGTTGTTCGAAGTATTATTGGATAGGACGTATAATAGCTTAACACTAATTGAGGGCGCCATCGTCGACTTTTCCTCTCCCTCCTCTTTCTGGCTTTCTTCAAAAAGAAGTCCAATGCACGGTAGCATCGTTTTTTTTTTCATCCACACATCAACTACAATTTTTCAATAATAATTAACAAGTTAATCTACCCTCGATATCACAAAAAAAATATCCATCCTTTAGTCAGTATGAATCTTAGGACACCACATAAAGGAAAGATTCACCTCGCTATTAATTTAATGATAGAAAAAAAAATTATAGTAATATAAAAATTATAGTATAATAGTTATATTAGATAGAGTTTTATTTAGATACAGTTATTGTTAAGTTTTTTGAATGGTTAACAGTCGGCGTGAAGCAGAGATAATGTATAGAATTCATCTTCAATTTCGAGAAATACACACTTGCTTTTAATATCAGCAAGTTTGAATAATTTTTTGTTGTTCAACAATTTAATTTTTAAAACGCCTACTTCTGCTGAAGGACAAGGGGTGGTGAATACATGATCGCGATCATCATCAATACACCCCTCAATGAATATGTCCTCTGGGGACTGAACATTCTTTTTGTGCTCTGCCCTCATAAAAATGTTCGTAATCCACAAGATTCTTCCATTATGAAGCTGTGCGACATTATTTGGAGCTTCATCAGCAATTATCATATCATGATACTTAACTGAGTCAAGCTTCAAGTGTTGATGTCCATTTCTCTCATAATATTGAAGTTTTTTCTTTAAAACACATTCACTCAGTACTTCTCTTTTTTTGAGCTTCATGATCGACTCAGAATCCTCTTGAGCATTTGACCGATTCACTATTTGAGCCAATGGCTCGTTCCTTGCCGTCACAAGTGATTTTAATTTCCCAATAAAGTTTTCCCCGAAAGACGCAGATAAATTGCTCAGAGATGTTTTAAAATACCTAGCGTCATCGGGAATGTGTATAGTAGCATGAACATGCCCAACCTGTGAATCTTCACCATAATAAGTTGGCATACAGTTGACAAATGTTTTTAAATACTTTTCGGCTCGATCACAATGCATTGAGTCCATCACTAGCTCAGTACTGCAGAGGATCCGGCAAGCAATGTGCAAGTGTAAAAAATGATGGTATTCATCCCTGGGTAATATGAACTTTAGAACAATCGCACCAACATAAAGAAGCATAAATGAACACTGTGTTGCCTTCCAGCGGCCATCATCACTAATATCAAATTGTTTCCGCTGAAATTCAGCTGGTACCCATCGTGTGATATTTTTCATGAGAGTTTTGAAAGCGTTCAATTTACTTGATCGAAGACTGCGGACCCAATAGCTGAGCAAATTCTTCATGAGGTTGAGGAATAGCAAATGCATAATTTCCAGTGGAAAATCCTTTATAGGATCAAGGCCTGGTATTTCTAATAGAGGGCTTTTAAAATCAGTTGGTTGATGCTCCTTATCGGCACGAGTAACAAAACTCTCTTTCGTCCGTTTTGGAAGGTTTGTTTCTGGATAAACTCGCTTTTGATTAACTGTAACCCCTGGAACTATGCAGCGCTCACACGATGAAAATCCTCCAGGACCTTTAGTGCATCTTATGTATGCTCTTGCAGGACCATCCGCAATAATTGCAGCTATCTTGAAAGAATATTGTTTACCATTCACTACCAATCCTTGTTCTGTTAGTTTTTTCGATTCTTGTACAAAATCATATAAAAAATTCTCTACAAATTTTGGCTTAGCATCACCATAATATAAACTGACTATGAACGGCACGGACTTATAATCATTATGAAAAATTTTCCCAATGATTGGCCATAATTGTTGCTTGGTATTTTGATAAATCGTCATTCCATCAATATGCACTATGACACGTACCTCGGGCTCATCGTAAACTCCCAATCTAAGTCTTTTAATTAGTCCATTCTGTACTCCTAAATAGATGTATTTACCATTAGTATTTTTTTTTGAGACCATAGGACAACTGTCAATACGCTGAGCATAACCTAATAGTTTTTTTGCAGTTGAAGGAAGATCTGCATGACCATGCAGTCGCAATAATTTTAAAAGTTCACTAACCGACTTGTTGTCTGCGTTACTGATATTGCGTATGGCCCAATTTTTCAGGTCTTCTTTTAAATTCAATGGTGCATTTACTAGACATCCATCATCGCCTGTATCACTATCTGTCTCCTCTGTAGCTCCCCAATTTTCTTGGTGTTGTTCATCATCACTATGTCTAAATGTACTTAAACTATCACCATCACTGGATTCACAACTGTCAGATTCTTCTCGTTGACAAATTTGATCATTAACTCCATCATTTTCTAAATTAACTTCAAGAAATCCACATGCATCATCGGCATTTTGGAGCATATTAGCATCGTTATTAACGGATTCTGCATCACTCACTAAATCATGCTGACGCATTAAATATCGATGTTTTTTCACTCGTGGATACGACGAACTTTTACGCGTAGCCATTCTATACTTATGTATTGTAATAGTTGTATACAAAGAACTTGATTTAAGAAATTATAACTTCGGAAGAATTTTCGGCTGCCAACGAACGATTAGGTTATGTCAAACTAATGTATAGTATGTATATAATTATAGTATGTATAGGAAATCGATCTCGAATTAGTCAACAGATGAGCTACAGAATTTATTGAAATGAAAAACCAGGTAAAATAAAAATATACTCCAAGAAATTGCAAATTGAACTCTAATGTTCAAAATGCTTAAAAAAAATAATTGAAGAATTTAGAGATTACCCAGTCTTGAATCAGCCTTAAGAAATCAGCCTGAAAATTGAACGTCTGAGCGAGACTTGAAATGAACCTGAGAGGAGGCCTGCTGACGAATCTTTCATTCAAGGCTGAATGGAACAACGAGTTCAGCCTTCTCTCAGGCCTCCGACGCTCAGCCTTGCCAAGCCAAGCCTTGTGCAGGCTTGACTCCATCGTCAGCCTTTATCGTGTCTACCTGGGTGGTAATTATTTGAACTTACCTTTTTCGTTACCTCGAAATCAACAGCTACTAAACTGTTCAATGGCTTACCATACATCACCATATTACCATTTTTACGTATCTCAACTCTTTTCTCATCGAACGTGATACTCAATCCTGTTCGTTGCATTTTTCGTACTGACAGCAAATTGTATGGAATCTCAGGGCAGTAGAGAATATCATCGATTGTACATGCAACTCCCATGTTGCTCGTCACGTTGATTTTTCCCTTCCTTCTCGCACTGAGGAATTCCCCGTGCTTTGCAATAGATATTTTAATCGGCGGATCCAACTCAATCACACTGGAGAACATGTCATCTCTATTTATCAGGTGATCCGAGGCGCCTGAATCCAGCAGGAATGTCAAATTTTCATTTCCAGTTTCTCGATACTCTCCAGTCATGAAGGCACATCCTGATACGTTGTCATCTGATCTCATCTGGGTTGTTTGAATGGTATGAACTGTTCTGTTTCGTTCAGCTTTGTGTTGTTGACTTTTCTTGTAGAAATAACAGTCCTTGATTTTATGATTTCTGCGCCCACAGTGATGACATTTGCCTTACGATGAATCTTTGTAAGGTCTAAAACCAGTTGAAAAACGTGAGCCTCTGCCCCTTCTATTTGATCCTCTGTGACCGCCTCTATAGCCTCTTGAATTTCCGTGATTCGATTTCTGTGGAGCTTCACTTTGAACATTTAACACATTGCAACTTGTCTCTTCTATTTCACTCGTGATTTTTGTCTCGTGATCAGAGAGTCTTGCTTTTACAAAATCCAATGTCACTTCATCTTCGGTTGTTGTTTCAATCACTGTTGACACAGTGTCATAGATTTTAGGGAGACTTGCCAATAAATACGACACTTTCTGATTTTCCGTCACCAAAGCCCCTGCTGCAACTAGTTCCACAATTAAGTCATCGAATTTCTCAAAATGGTCTTGTAAATGTGCATCATTTTTCATTTTAAATCGACTTAGACGATTACGAACGGAAACTTCACTTGCAGCACTTTTCCTGGAGAAAACAGTATCTAGCTTTTGTAAAATAGATTTAGCGGTACATCCTGGAATGTCATATTTAAGATAAGCATCAGATAAATATTCGACAATGGCAGTTCGAGCCGTTTTCTCAGCTCTCTTCCATCGCCTAGTTACTGGATTCGGGGGTTGGTCATCAATCACATTCAGTACATCCAGATCATCTAATAAATTAAGTATCCTATGTTTCCATGCAATGTATTTAGATCTCCTGTCCTTTGATTTCCCCATTGTCACTTACACTTCTATTTTTGCACTTTAATCACTTGAAACTCACAATTCCAATTGTCTAAATTGTTTCTAAAAATACACAGTTAATACACGGTGTAAACTAGGCCCATAACCGGATGGAAATGGGTCAAGAAATAATTATATGAAAAACGCAGTGAATTGAACTTTACTTTATTTAATTATTAATATGGCATGAGGAAGTGACGTCTATGCTCTACGGGCTGCTGGAACAGACTAACTACCGATCACAAAGACCAAAAGACATCATCATATATTAACAAAGAACTCTCAGTTCATTCTCCCTATGAAGTCATTGTTTATGTTTATATTAACACTCCGGCTCTCTCCACTCCTATTTGTTTTTGTACCAATAATCTTAAGGAGTAAATATTCTTAATAGTAATAAGTCATATAATCCATACCGATTGTCTTTGGATTAGTACATTCGGTTGTAGAGCAGAACGAGTCAATTGTTGAGGAACAGTTACCAGCGGTAATTGATTAACATTGACATTTACAGGCATATGTGAAGGTGGGGATGGATTACAAGCAGGAATAAGTGTTGGATGGCCAGGATTATTTGAATGAGATAACTCCTTAGACGATGAGGTAGCGGGGGACACAGGGGGACACTGCAATGACTATTCAAAATGATCGATCTCATATAAAAATTCAAAGAATTATTCTGATAAAAAATGTGTTAGTTTGAACCAAGATAGCAATACCCAGATGGTGGTGGAGGGAGCACCTGCTTTGAGAGTATCAATATGGTTCCCCTCAGATGGACTTGAACTTGCTTATACATTGCCATCAATATTTGGATGTGTGGCATTGTCAGTATTAGGGATATTCTGAACAGCCCAGCTTAAATCGGAGATTTGAAAAAAAATTGGCAATACATCCTCAAACTCGACATATACAAGAGGATTCTCGGCAAGCTACAATAATAAACAAAAATATTTATTCGGTTATTTGTCAGAATCATTGAGAGAAAAAATGAAATTATAAAAATGCTTAAATTATTATGCCACTGAAAGATTCTACCTCGGGATTTAAAGTTGGCAATCCACTCATTACGACTGGAATTTTGGAATTTCATGAGAAACGATAATGAATGTATAAAATAGAGAATATGCGTCATGTGGACATAGAAAAAAATAGATACTTAAATCAAGAATATTTATTAATGGTGGGGGGGTTATTCCGGACATTTACCCGAATATCTAGAATAGCCCCCCTCACCGATATCCAAGTCTTATGGTGGAGTGTGTAGGTTTCCGATCCTTATTTCAGAATCTGTTAACTATTTTCGGGGGAAACAATTAGGTTGGCAAATATATTTGTTAGTACAACGCTTTCCGCGTTATCCAGGGCCACGGCGAGGACGAGGCGGTGTGTCGGTCCCAAAGACGTGATGTCGGTACACTTACGGACAATGGATACACAGAAAGATGTTAATTTGGTAATCCCGTATGGTTCACTTAATCACTACAAGATTCACATCACCTCACCAAACCACCTACCATCACTGACTAACACAACGAGTGATTTATCCGCCGCTACTCTTCCGTAGCTATTGAAAATGGTAAATATAAAATGAAATTACTCACTCTTCGTATCATCAGTGATATCAGGAGGATAGGGGGGCTCAGGAATTTCAGGGATAATTTAGAGACCCGCACGACAGTATCGACGGTGTATTCATTTTCCGCCTATATTGTTTATTTCTCACACACTTCTTTAGACTTGGTTAATATTATAAGAGGTTAAATTTTAATGATATTTCTATATGGTGAGGGGGTTAGTCCAGACATTTACCAAATATTGTGTACTTGATTCAAGTAATTTTTTTTTGTCGATATTGGTATATAATGGTTAGGGAAGCCTAAAAATCATAACTAAATTCCGGAGAACTGTGACTAGCCTCGGACAAGAAAAATTGGATAAAATATAATTGAAAGATAGTACTCACCTACACATTGTAATATCCTTAGCTTCACAACACCACACTAATCAAACACTTTATGTCTATGACACGTCAACGTCTTAAGCCGATCAGAACACGTACTCAAATACGACAGTTTTCGGAACAAAACATGCTCCTGCTCGTAAATGCGGTGACTTATTATTTTCTAATGCTCAATTTTATAATCTCTATTGATTTCTCTAGCACTATTTTCGTAATATTTCCTTTTTAACATACCAAATTTCAACAGAGGGACATTGAAATTGGAGCAAATTTCAACCATTTAGTGGTTCGTACCGTTTTATGCTTTTTTCTTTCTAAAAATTGGCATGTTTGGGTCCAAAAATAAAAAATAAAAACTATAATTATGAGAAAGAAAAATACCATATAACATCATTTTTACAGTATGGTCCTCTACTAGTGTGTCAACATACCAATTTTTACAAAAATATTTTTTCCGTGTATGAAGTTTCTGCTATAATGAGTGATGATAAAAAAATTAAAGAGCAAGCACACATTCAGCATGTTTTTGATAATGCTGATGATAACGTGTGTACTTTGGGCGGATTCAATACGTTCCATAGTATGGGAGGCACTTGCTGCGTGACACCAAAGACTGCATCAGTACCCAAGGTACGATAAAAAATTGTCAGCCTAGAAAGCGAGGCGAAAGAAGTCAAACTTCATGGATCTTGATGGGCACTTGAAATGAAAATACTCACCCTAGCCAGCAGGTTTTATGAGATAGAAATTGTAAGGGTATTTTCCTGGGGTATTTCGCACAGGAAAATGGTCCCTTACGACCAATGTCCATGCCTCTAAAAATGTCGAACGCCAGCCAGACCTTTACGGAAGGTCTGACGAAACTGGCCCTCGGGGCCTGTGCGGCTACCCGAGGGGCTTGTGGGCCGCTGGACATGCCACATGCCTAGCTAGCTTCAGTGCGATGAGGTAGAGTGGGTGTGGTCCACCCGCTGAAACCCTCTAAAGCCTTCCCAGCCTTTCCAGGCCGGATATCGCCATCACGCGCGACTCTGAGCACACTGAGGGGTGCTTTTCCTCCCCCGGGAGGCCCTTGCGGGCCTTTCGGGGCCGTCCTCTTGCTCTGGGATATCCGTATCCAGAGCAAGGTCATGCTCGCCTGCGACTTAGCGGAAGTCCCTGAGACACCAAGAAGCTGATCGGACCAAGGTGGATATCTACCCATCGACCTCACGACCACCCGCACTCCTGGCTTCCAGTTTTCCCGTTCCATCACTAGCCTCCGCCCCTGGCCACTCAAAATGGCGGCGGATGTCGGGTCGACAGGAGTCCTCTCGATTCCAGACCCACGGGCCACATACTATCAACTTTTTCGTCCAGGCACAGATCACTCCGGAAACACAATGGTCGTCACCAGATGCTCCGAAACGAGACATGAGGGTTCACGGGAGATGCAGGAGCATCTCCCTATGCTCGCCCTCGTGATTTGCATCACTCGGACGAGGAAGTATCCCTTCCCGTTGCTAAGCTGTTTCAGCCATGCGTTATTCCAGCTAGCGAGCGGCGTTACGGGCGCTCTAATCGAGAGCTCGCGCTCGACTGCCCGAAATCTCCTAGGGCCTTCTCCCCCTAGTCTGGATATCTCGGCGGCAACACGGTCATTCCGTTACCCATGCCACGGCCAATCAACCCGACGGGATCCCGGGGGCACCAGTCTTCTCACTTGGCCGTTGGTCCCTAGTCTAAGTCAGTAACGCTTCGGAGTTGCTCAGTTGGACGGCCTGTACGTCGGCCCCAATACTCCCTATCGCATGCTGAGACAACTCCACATATGCACAGTCTACGAATGTCCTCAGGGCCGACAGGGGTCGAAGTTTCCACCCAAACCGCTATGCCTTTGGCCCCTCATCGGAGGAAAGTCTAGCATGCCATCCATCCGAGGCCTTTTCGGCCTCCGCTAGATGGCTCTTACATTTCCACTGTCCAGCTAACAGGGTTCTTTTCATTAAAGGGGGATTTCAACCCGTAACGAGAAAAATCTCGTTACAATTTTGATCCTTTGTTTTTTTCCCGTAATTTTAAGATTCGGCCTGTTTTTGTTTTTATACGTTGTGTGATGGAAGCTCTGAA